CCTCGGGGGGAAGGCGTTCCAAAGGCCTCAGGAAAGTGGCGGGTCCGTCTCCAGGGCCAATGAAAGGCGTCCCCCTCAGGACAAAGGCAAGGCACCTCTCCATGCCAACAACGCACGCCACCAAATCAACCAGGCCCACTCGGCCCGGGTCCATTCGCAGGGAACGGAGGCCCTCCCGAAGGACCCCCGGGACGAAATCATTGCGGCCCTCCAGCGCCGGTTTGACGAGATGGAGGCCACCAAAGCCCACGCCACCACTTCTGCCCCTCATACAGACCTCAAGTATGAGGCAATGATGGCCAAGATGGAAGAAATGCAGAAGAAGATAGCCGAGGGCTCTGGGGAACCCACCATACAGCTCCGGACCCGGACGCCGTTTACCCCAAGGGTATTGGCTGCCCGGATCCCGGAAAAATACCGAGGGGAGCTCATCAAGCCCTATGACGGAAAGACTGACCCCCAAGAGCACTACAGCAGGTATCAAAACAGCATGATGATGGTGGGGGCATCGGATGAATATTTGTGTCGCTGGTTCCTGTCCACCCTAGAGGGGTCAGCTTACGAATGGTTCAATCGATTGCCCGAGGGCTGCATTGACTCATGGCAAGAACTCGCCCAGCGATTCTTGACGCAATTTGTGGGAAGGCGCCGCACAAGAAAACACTTCTCCCACTTGCTAACGGTGAGGCAGAAGAAGGAGGAGACCCTTTGGGACATCCTGGAGCGCTGGAGGACGGAGGCTGATAAAGTTGATGGCGCTGACGACGGGACCCTCCTGGCCCTCCTACAAACAGTACTCCACCCCGGGAACTTCTCAAGGAGCCTCATCATCGAACCCCCCCGCGATTATATAAGGGCCCTACAGCGGGGGGACCGGTACGCCGAGGCCGAGGAGGTGGAGAAACACCACCATGTCCCAGATCAGCAACGCCCTCGGCCAGACAAGAAGTTGGGCCATTACTTCCAGGCTCACCCGGTCCAGGTCCTCACTCACCAACCCCTCGGCGCCTTGATGAGGAGCCCCACTAGCTCCCCCCGAATGGTAAAATGGGCTGTCTTCTTGAGCCAATACAACATCGACATCCGTCCTAGGCCCGCCATCAAGGGCCAAGCCCTAGCGGACTTCGTGACGGAGTGTACGGCAAGGGCAGCCACGGACGAGGAGCCCTCGGCCCCCTCAGATGATTGATGGACCCTCTACACTGACGGCTCCTCCGCCATCAAGGCATGTGGAGGAGGGGTGGTTCTCATCTCACCCGAGGGCTTCCGGGCCTATTATGCAGTCCGTTTCTCCTTCAAAGTCTCCAACAATGAAGCCGAATACGAGGCTCTCCTCTGTGGCCTTCGGCTGGCAGCTAACATGAAGGCCCGACAAATCCACGTCAAGTGCGACTCCAAGTTAGTCGTCGACCAAATCTCCGGGGAGTACGAAGCCAAGGAAGGGAGAATGAAGCAATACAAGGAGGCGGCCAAGGAGTTGCTTAAGGTATTTGAGGCACACTCTCTTACTCAAATACCGAGGGCTCAAAACTCCGAGGCCGACATTTTATCAAAGCTCTCGGCAGAATCCCCTGAGCATATCTCGAAGATTGCCAAAGTAGAAGAACTCAGCCTCTCTAGCATACATGCTAGCCCCGTCATGGATATACAACAAAGACACGAGGACTGGATCTCGGACATTGTTGCCTTCATCACCACGGGGCAACTGCCCGAGGATGAGGCCCGCGCCAAGCTGGCGAAGATGAGGGCTCCCAGCTACACTATCGAGGACGGGAGGCTTTACAAAAGGTCCTACAACGGGACGTTGCTTCGGTGCCTTCATCAAGATGAAGCCGAAGTAGCAATGGAGGAAGTACACAGTGTCACTTGCTCAGCTCACCAGGGACCCTTCTCCATGTCCCGAAGGCTAATAATCCAGGGCTACTTCTGGCCTACGATGGCCCGGGATTGTGCAGATCTTGCCCGGAGGTGTCCCGCATGCCACCACTTCCAGAAAGCCCCCGGCAGGCCAGCGGTCAACTATGCCCCCATCAGCACATCCATACCCTTCGCTCGATGGGGCATAGACCTTGTGGGCCCTCTACCGAGGGGTACCTCCAACAACAGATACATCATCGTCGCCATCGATTACTTCACCAAATGGGTGGAAGCTGAGCCCCTCGCCAGCATCACTGAGGCCAGGTGCCGTCATTTGGTTCTCAAAAACATCCTCACCAGGTTTGGCGTCCCTCAGCAAATCATCTCCGACAATGGGACTCAGTTTGAGGCAGCCCCCTTCTTTGCCCTCCTAGAGGCATGGGGCATCAAACACACCTTCTGATCCGTTGCCTACCCTCAGGGCAACGGTCAGGTGGAGAACGCCAACAGGACCCTGCTTGAGGGCCTAAAGAAGAAGCTGGAGGCCGAAGGAGGTGGTTGGGTGGAAGAGCTCCACAACATCTTATGGGCCTACCGTACCACCGCTCGGTGGGCAACTGGCGAGACACCCTTCTCCCTTTGCTACGGATTTGAAGCCAAAGCCCCCACTGAGGTAACTCTCCCAACCCGAAGGGTCACACAGTATGATCTAGAGGCCAACGACGCCAATATGGCCCTCGATCTCCACCTTATTTCAGAACGCCGAGAGCAAGCCTTCATGCGCGCAGAGAACTACCGAAGGCAGGTAAAGAGCTACATCGACGCCAGGGTTCGCTCCCGGGAATTTCAAGTAGGGGACTGTGTCCTTCGAAGAAGGGAAGCTAGCCAACCAACCGAGGGCGGAAAGATGGCACCAAAGTTCGAGGGCCTCTACATCGTGGCAGCCATCATCAAACCGGGAACTTACAAACTAAAACGCCCGAATGGGACTGAAGTCCCCAGGCACTGGAATGTACATTACTTTGTTAAATTTTATCAATAAACACCAGAGCGGCCAAGCCCTCATAAACTAGTGAATGTATTATTTCACGGCCCAAGGCCTAAAAATTCTGAAGAATGAAGGCATTTTGAAGACATCAAGAACATGGAACAAGATTATTACAATGGCCAAGCCCCCATATCACCCTTAGGCCCAAGGCCTTACCACAAGGAAGAACCCTCGGCACCAAGTGTCGAGGGTAGACAATCCTATCTCCTACAATAGAGTACCACCTGTCCTCAACAGAAGACCTCTCGGCACCTGGTGCCGGGGGGCACACCACAATAACCTTCAACAAATGGGAACAAACACCAAGTGTTCCCACAGAAGACCCCTCGGTACCAAGTACCGAGGGTACACACCACTATCAACTTTCAACAAATGGGAAGAAAACCAAGTGTTTCACAGAAGACCCCTCGGTACCGAGTACCGAGGGAAAACAACACAACACCTTCAACAAATGGGAAGAAACACCAAGTGTTTCCATAGAAGACCCCTCAGTACCAAGTACCGAGGGTAGACACCACAATCCCCTACAACAAATGAAGGAAAAACACCAAGTGTTTTCACAAGAAGACCTCTCGGTACCAAGTACCGGGGGCTGTACAACGGAACAAACACCAAGTGTTGTTTCTAAGCCGTACCCCTCGAGGACGCCTATACCGAAGGCGCCACCTCTCGGTGCCGGCGGCACGTAGTGCACCCGACCATTTGCAACCAGTGTGCAAATGAAAACCCTTTCCTGAAACGCTTTCCGCGTCATCACCCCAAGGGTATGACAGGCATGAGAAATGCCCAGGATTCGACTTTCAAAACGGAACGCTTTCCGCGTCATCATCCCAAGGGTATGACAGGCACGAGAAATGCCCAGGATTCGACTTCCAAACCGAAACGCTCCCCGCGCCACCACCCCAAGGGTGTGGCAGGCCACGGACTATGTCTAGCACCGAGGGGACGACTTTCAAAACTGAGGCGCTTTCCGCGCCACCCCCCAAGAGGAGGCAGACTCCAGACCACCATATCTTGTGCCCAGGAAACGACCCTCGATCCCCTCGGAACTCGGAAGGTTAACCCGAGGGGGGAGCTAATGGTGTATTCTGTTACCTCCCGATATGCCAAGCCTTACCAAGAAACCAAGTTTCTTGAAGCCTTCCCTTCACTACTCAAAAAAAAAAGGGGTGGTGAAGGGGAGTAGACTCGGCGAGAAATCAATGAGTACATTACTCCAACAATTCACAGAAACATTCCGAGGGCTCCCCAAGGGAACACCTCCGGTACCTGGACGCCCATGAGTACCAAAGATACCATTCAACACAGACATCATACCTAAAACCGAAGGCTCAAACAACTCAAAACGTCCCCTAAGGGCACTATATCACAAAGTGATGTACATGTGGCCAAACCAAATCAAGAATCACCTCCGGCACCTCACTACATGCCGAGGGGATATAACAAACAACCGAAGGCTTTTGTTACCATAGCCCAACATTGCAAAGCAAAGGAAACTATCCTAAACCTACAACGTATACAGCCGAAGGGTCCCCCCGAAGGCCAGCGGCAGGAAATACTTGGAAAAAATAATCTGAGTCCTAAATGCTTTGCCCCTTGTGGGGCCACCAGTCAACCGAAGGCATATCTGAGACAAGGCCCTCACAGTCACCTGAGGGCTCCTACTTCACACATATTACACTTAGAAATATTTTCTAAGTCCTAACTATTGCTGGGCCCTCGGTCATACATCCAGCGAAGGGTACCCAAATACCGAAGGCTAGGCTGCATTCAAACACTTAGAAAAATTCTTCCAAGTCCTAAACAGCTCGCCTCCGGTTATCTCATGAAAGCTACACGAAACCAGGGGGAAGGAATTAGCCGGGGGCCAACAGATGAACAAACACTTAGAAATATTTCTAAGTCCTGAACATTGCGCCCTCGGTAAAAGGTTCAACTAACTAAAGATTACTAGTAGCCGAGGGCTACGAGAAGCACTACACTTGGGAGAATACATTCTAAGTCCTAAACAAGCATTCAAAAAAGCGAAGGCATACATTCAGGAAAGGCGAAAGCATACATTCAAAGAGAAACAATGAAAGGGAAACGTATTATATACCAAAAGCCCGAAGGCAAACATTCATTCATCTGAGAGAAAGGAAATTCAAATGTACATTACAGAGTGGCCGAAGCCGAGAGCATACAAGTGATAGCTACGACAAGATTGTTCAAAAAAATTCCTAAGTATTACACGATAACTACATCATCAGCAGCAGCAGCATCGCCTCCGTTTGCAGGCTTCGACGTAGCGTCCCCCTCGGCATCTTCTTCTTCATCGCTGCATTCAGCCATCAGGACAGTGTCCTCAAGATCTGGCCTGCTGGTGCCCTCGAGAAGGAGAACCCTGGTGTCCGGTTGAAGAGGGGGGAGCCCATAAGCCGCGGGGTCAAACGCCGATGGGTCTGCCCCTAGGTGCCTGGCCAGCCTCCGGTAGATAAGGGCTTGAGTGAAGTACTCGCCCCCATCATAGTATTCCTTCCCCTTCTGGGCCAGCCACATTGCCCCGGGGCCTTTCACCCATTCCTCCACGGAGGACTCGACAACCGTAGCCACCCACGCTCTCTGGGCCTCAGCTTTCCACCCCTCGGCGATGAAGGCTGCCACCGCTTCCCCCGCTGCCTCCTTCTTGGCAGTCTCAGCATCTTCGGCAGCCTTCTTGGCGGCCTCAGCAGCTGCCTTCTCCGCTTCGGCCCTCCCCTCGGCTTTCGCCTGCACCTTGGCATTCTCGAGGAGTTTCTCGAAGGCCGCCCTCTCCACCCTGGAAGCCTCCTCTGCCTCCCGGAGCCGCCTTTGGGCCGCAGCCAAGGACTCGTCATCCTTCTGCTTTTGAAGGGCATAGCGCTCCATCCGTTGAATGAGTTCACCAAGGCCGAGGCTTGCTTACAAAAGACATCACGAATCACCGAAGTTTAGAACCACAGTGCAAAAAGGGGAGGAAGGGAACAGAAGAAAAAGGAAGAAGGAAAGGGGAACTTACAGTAACCGAAGCCTGAAGGACCTTGGAGCAGAGGGCGTCGTCAGTTTGCCGAGAGAGCACGGATTTATCCGTCGGGGGGGTGGCCCCCCTCATTAACTCCCTCGGGTTCAGCGTAGCGTGCATAATGGCAGTCCCCTTAGTGATGGAGAACTGCACATTGTCTTGGGGCCATACCAGCCCGGGGGCTTGGGCCGGAGGCTTGTTGGAGGAATGTTCCTCCACAATGACAACCGGGGCCCCTTTCGTGTCGGGCCCCCCCTTCTTCTGCTTATTTCCCTCCGGGGGCACCACGGCCTTCCTGACTCTTTTCCTCTTCAGGGCCTCAGCAGGGGAGCCCTCGGCGTTGGAACCAGCGTCGTCGCCGGCGACAATTTTTTTCTTGGGCACGTTTTCCAGGGCCCCTTCATTTGCACCCGCCCTCGGGTAGATCTCGTCCAACCCCCTCTAATGCACCGAGGGGTCTTTCTTCTTGGTCTCTTTCGCCAGCTGCTTCTTCAACTTAGAGAGGTTCCGGGCGTCCATGTCTGGTCCTGAAAAACAAAGGAAATGCAGGGGAGTTAGGAAAATAATATCAAAAAGGAAATCAAAAAAAAGGAAGGGAAAAATATATTCTAAGTATAGAACGGGAGCCCTCGGCAAGTCAACTACCTCCGGCGCTTTGATAAACCCTATCGACGGGGGGATATCTCTCATCGCTTTCCCCCATCAGCCGATAACGCCGAAAGCCCAAATCTTAAAGATCGTCTGGGAGAGTAGCATCCCTGATCTTGGTATGCTTGTTGGACCCCTCGGGCTTCTTGGAGAGCTTCTTTCCTTTTTTCTCCAAGGCAGCGTTTCCTACCTTGACATGCCTGCGGAAGCTGTCGCGAAGGGGGGCCGGGAAGGAATTCTCGGCCATCCGAATGTAGCAGAACCTATCTTTCCATCCCTTGTGGGACGAAGGGACATCATCGAAGAGTCTGAACTCTGGGAGCTGCTGTAGGTTGGCAAAGCCACCGGCGTTCGAGTGCCCCCCCCCCCCCCTCGACACAGATTGAAGGAGAGGAAAAATTGGTCCAGCAAGGGCTCCACATCCCGGCTCCGGCAGAGGGAGAGGAAGCCAGCCAGGTAGGAGTGGTTGTTCGGGGTTAGTTGGCAGGGGGCTAGCTTGACGTACCGGAGGTACTCCACCACGAAGGGATGGAGGGGGGACCGGAGACCCAACTCCACCGAGAGTAGATGCACGGCGAAACAACCGGCGGGGGTGTATAGCAAAACGTCATCTGGCCCCGGATCCACTACCAATGCCGACGGCCCTACCAGGAGTTGCGTCGCCATGTATTCTCCCCGTGTGGCTCGGGTCTTCACATCCAAAGCGGCAGTGTTCAGGTAGGAATAGCCTTCGGGAATTCCTACTGGTTGCCCAGCGTCAACGGCAGCCTGTTTCTTCTTCCCGGCAGCCTTCACCTTTCTCTTCTTCCCGAGGGCAACACTGATAGGCGTCGGGTTCAGAGGCTGAGAGCTTCTGGCCTCTGCATTCCGAGGGGGAGGGACGGCGACGGTAACCACCATGCTTTCTTTTTGTGCCTCATCCTCAGCCACTTGAAAGGCAAGCGCCAGCTCCTCGTCCTCGCACACTTGCTCGAACTCCTCCGCTTCCAGTTCTAGCCGAAGGCTCGCTTGCACCTCTTCAGCTACCACAGAGTCCCGGTTGACCGAAGTGCGTGCGCTCGAGGACTCCACGTCCGAGATGATCTCCTCCTCCATCGAGGGCGGCCTCGAGATATCCTCAGAGTCGCTTTGTGAAGACATCCTCAACAGCTGAAGGGATGAGGGGTTTCTAGGACAGGAGTTTTCCTAAGGCTGTTAAGCACTTAACCTAAGGCCACACGACTACGACCTACTAATGCTACAGCAGATGGGCAGAGAACTGACCTCGGAAGAGCGATTGATCGAAGGCAGATGTTTCTCTCTCTAGGAATTTTGGCAGAGCTACGCTAACGGATAAAACGCACAAGGGAAGTGAGGCCGGCCATGGGATATTTATAGGCGCTCGGATCCGGGCTTGGGCCTGGAAACCGGGCCTCCGGTTGGACTGCCATCATTACAAACCGTAGTTTCGCCCAATCGGAGACACCCGCCCACGGGAAGCCAACGAGCGCACACCACGTGGCAGCATCCCCCAACGGCTATATTCTGACGTTAGATATTCCAACGGCTATATCTCCAACGGCTATATTCTGGGAGCTCTCGGCTACACTTGACAGACCATTCCTTCATCGACCAAAGAACTAGCCCCCGGGCTTTTTACTTCACTCCACTTCATCAACGAGAGCCCCCGGGTACACTTACCCAGAGACGCTCCCGGTTTATGCCCCACACACTACATAACAAATGCCTTCGGGCTCACTCCTTCAGAAACCCACGGCTTCATAACAGGCCACCCCTCGGGGATCCCCCCTCAGCACTTTGAGGGCAGGGTAGCCCCCGGGGAATGCGCCTCATTGACGGGCAGCCTACGGCACACAGGTTACAGGAGCCCTCGGATATCCTCCTCACCAACTAATCAACAAACAGGGGCACCCCGGTAACACTTCAACTACTACTCTCATTCATTACGTCCTCGATCCCCAGATTGAGGGACTCCCTTTCGGCACCTCCCAGGATATAAAAAGCAAGCCTTCGGCATCAGCATTACTCTCCATTCGAACCAGGGCTTCACATTTTCGATTCATCGTTGGGGGAATTCGGTGCACTCTTTTTCCCTCATTAGGATTTTTTCCCACAGGGTTTTTCCTAATGAGGTTTTTAACGAGGCATCCCCCAAAATGAAACGAAAAGCGTCAGCCTTCGGCCCAAAATGGCAACATAGTTACTCTACTCCTTTTCACCACTTTGCAAGTGCCTCAAGGAGTGGGGGACTGGAGGACCCCCTCGGGAAAAATCACAAAAATCACAAACATGACCCCTCAAGTCCCGACATGTGGGTAACTGAGGGACTGCCCTCGGCAGAATAAACAAACAGCAAACTACCCACAACTCTACACTTACTTGCTCTGACTTCTCTCTAGTTATTCCCCGTAATAACCCCTCGGATAAGTTACCCCCCGGGTACACTATCCATCACATCCCTTCAAAGTTTGAGGTATTTTAATTTTTTTTCCTTTTTAAACTAATCTGACAAAAATAAATTTCTTGAAAAATGCAAGTTAAAGGACGGTACTCTAGTAAATACCCATTAGGCCTTTCATGACTCATCCTTTTTTGGTACATTGTAAATAGGCATGGACCAGGTCCGGGTGAGGCCGGGCCCCAGGCCAGGATTGGGAGGGACTGGGGATTTGGGCTGAACTTATTTTTTTGAATACCCGCTGAAGGCCCAGTACCGACCCGAACCGGGCCCGAGTCATTTTTTTTTGAATTAGTCTTTTCTAACTTATTCCTACCCCCACCCACCCCAAACCCTGCCAAATCACCCAGCCCAACCTACCTAACAGCAGCCCAATGCCAAAAAACTAAAAAAAAAAAATTGGCCTAGTCTACTAAAACACGTCCCAAAGCCCACCCCATTTGACCCCAGTTCGGGCCCCAAAGCATTATAATATAAGGACCACTCTTTTTACATTATAATGACCTTGTGACCCACTCATAGACCTAGTCACATATAGGGGTGGACTCGGGTCCGGGTCGGGCCTAGGCCCGGGCGGGCCGGCGGTTCAAGAATGGTGGACTCGGGTCCGAGCCAGGCCGGGCCCCCGGTTTAGTTTTTTTTTTGCTTTCCTAACCCCCCCTCACCCCACCCTCCCAACCCCCACCCCCCCCAAACTCATCCTACCCATCAAGCCCAACCCGGGTGGAACCCCAAAAATGAAAAAAAAAATCAATTTGGCCCGGGCCCGCCCTACCCCTCGGGCCTAGGCCCGACCCGGACCCGGGCCCGGACCCGGACCCGAGAACCGGGCCGGTCCCGGTCCCGGTCCCGCACAGTAGCGGGCCGGGCCGGTGCACGGGCCGGGTGGCCCGACCCGAATCCAACAATAGTCACATGCAGTGCAGTTGAGTTATTGTAAAACGATTAGCAATCTCTCCGTTTTTGCACATCTCATCTAGGGTTGGACTCGAGCCGGGTCGGGCCCGGTCGGGCCGACGGTTCTATATAGCTGGACTCGGGACCAGCCCGGGTAACCACCGGGTCCGGTCCAGGTCCGGGCCGGGCCTCGGGTTTGGTTAATTTTTTTTTTTTTTTTGCTTAGCTACCCATCCCTGACCCCCCCCCCCCCCCCCCCCTCACCCTCCAAACCCCAAACCCCTCCTAAACATCAAGCCCAACCCGGTGGAGCCCAAACAAATGAAAAAAACCAAAAAAAAAATAAATTTGACCCGAACCGGGCCCGGGCGGGCCGGGCCTTGTTATGGGTGACCCGAGCCCGGACCGGAAACCCACCGGGTCGGGCCTACCCGGACCGGTCACTGACCGGGCCACCGGTTCGGGCCGGGCCGGTTCCTGGTCAGGCCACCCGGCCAGGGTCCAACCCTAATCTCATCGACTAATTTGGTAACTTTATGAAGCCACACTTTTGCTAATAACTCTAGATGGTCTCCGTAGACTCGTGTCAATAGTCTTTCGATGATAATTTTTTTTTTAAATTTAAAGACCTAAAAGTATAATTTGTACAAACAAATATGTATGCCTGACAAATAGGGAAATAGCCCCTCGGAATACATAATAAATCATCTAATGATCATCCCTTACTAGATAACTTTATTCTTCGATTAATTTCAATTTCCAACTCTTCAAGTCCCCCCACTTCTTCCAATTCCTGCACCAATCATGTTGCATAAGTCAGTCACTCCAATATACACAAAGAATATTTACTGAATAATTGTATTTATATTTTGCCATTAAGTACCTTAGGTCCTAAAAACAAGCCGTATGGGACACCATTGAACTTGTCGGTATGATGCAGCTGAATTCAAGAGGAATGTCAATGAAAATCAGTCTTTAATATCAATTGTTAGTTTGTTACAGAATGCAATACCAAAATGATTACAAATATGGATTGAGTATTAAAATAAACCAATGCTGATTATTTGTGTTCCCCTGATATAGAAATATGAGGCAACAATGAAGGATGGTAAAAGCGACATGATTGGCTAGAATTCATTATTAGGTTGGGTTACTTATCTTTACTACGTAGTATAAACTATAAAGTCCTTGGACCAAACCATACCAACATATTTAACCCAATGGATGGTATAAACTATACCCAATGCAAATGAAATGATACGTAGTATGAGCTAGTAAACTATACGACCATGCAGTACTGAGTACAATAATTGATCTGGTAAACCAAATTACCTGATGAGCTGAAGCCACTCTTCTAAAATAAGGTACATTGGCAATTGGGCCAACTGAGAATCGCTTGTGTACCAGGCCATCATGGACGAACATGTAGGCCATCCCAAACACTGTTATTCCTAGTCCCTGTACCAAAATAGAATGCATGTCTCCAATTATAGAAATTGGTATTGTTAAAAGGACATCAACAAGGTTGTACATTGTTTCTCACAATAAATTAAGCATGCAAGCAGGTTAATGTTAGTGACCAGACTCTACCATCACTTTAAGCATTCTTTCCTTCAGTTGAAAAGACTATTTGAAATAATAATAAATGTACCATAAATCAAGATGTAATACTAAATTTTAACAAACCTAATAACGAGAGTAGCATATAGAGTGAGCAGACTTACAGCTCCAAAACAGAGGCCAGGAACGATGCCTTTGTGGAAGAAACCATAGAAGAGGAGGGCAATGGCCGGGACAGCATTTATTATTGCAAATACATCATTCAGCTCGAATGCTCCTTCTCTTGGTTTATGGTGAGACTATACAAATATAATTCAAACATGACTGAGGAAGCCAGAAGACTAAGCCAACGTTTGATTTAGATAAAGTTAAGCAAATATGGGAAATTTTTGTCAAACGATGTTCAGTAAAAGCATGGATATAGGTGAAGTGAGGTACATATAAAACTCCTTTCAAATTTCAAAAGAAACATTTCTTATACGTAGTATAATTATTATCTTAAACCAATAGGATGTACTCCTTCCGTCCCATTAGAAGGTTCTCACTTTCATTTTTTGGACGTCCCGTTAGAAGGTTCTCATTTCCATTTTAGGAAACAATTAACAATCTTAAGCGACAAATTAATCATTAAATATTAAAAATAATACATTTATAACATCACAATTTTCAATACTAACTACCTTGCCGTTGAAATAATTTTAATAGGTATATATACCTATTAAAATTATTTCTCAAAAAATACTTGAATTATTTTATTTAATTATTGTCTAAATAACCGTGCCGTTTTGCTATGAGAACCTTCCAACGGGGCGGAGGGAGTACTTCGTATTAAATTTCTGATTGGTAAAGTTTCTCCATCTCTTTATTTTCAAATAGAGCTCAAACCTCCAAAACCGAACAGTTAGAGTTCTAAAATGAGTCGTTCTTCATGTACCCGCACTCCCGCAGGGCGTGTACATGCCTATTGTACACTCCACACTTACAATTCTGTACGTTTTTTCTAAAAATCTGAAATGTTTTTTATGAACTGTCGTGTACACAATACCTAGGGGGTGAGTACGAAAGCATGTACAAACGGATTTTTCTTTCTAAAATTAGGTTCCCACATACTAAAGGCATGATCATTGTCATTGAAATGTAAACAACGTGTACCGGGAAAAAACTCCTGAAAACCTAAATTCATCCAGAACAAAACAGACCAAATAATACTAATTATTATATTGGATAATATATACTGATGATTCTAGGAAAATTTACTCCTAATGCATAACTAACCACTGAGGGTTTGAGATTGTCTCATTGTCCTATCATTCTCTATACCATACTTAAAATTGTCCATTGGTTTTGAGAGGAAGAGCTCAGAATAGTAGCAAAACTGACCTCGTGCATATGCCACAGCGAAGCATGCCACAGAGCTTTATGAGCCCATCTCGCCCAGAACTCCATTCCTATCTGAAAGTTTCAACAATAAAACCCAATTCCATCAAGGCCCGCACGAATCAATGTTTCTTCCGACTCAAGAAATAGAAGCAATTCTTGTGACACTTACAGCGGCTCCAACTGATAGAGCAAATGTACCGAACATCTCAATATATGGAATATTTCCCCCCTATCCTCCCCGGAATAAAATGAAAATATAATCAGTTACAGAAAATTAAGGGGAATCAAATGAGAAGCATCAGGTTTTTGCAAGCAGTACCTCCATTAACCAAGCAAATCTATAATAAACAGCTAAAACAGCCAAGGAAGTAACACCAAAGCTAGACATCACGGCAGCCACGAGGTAAGTGAGGCGCTCCAACTTTTTCCTCTCCAATTTCTCTTCCATGCGAGACACCGAGATCTGCTTCTCAATCACCCTCCCAATTTCCTGGGCCCGAATTTCAAACTCGGAGTCCACCTTCTCGTCTTTCAGAACAAAGCAGACGGTCAGGACGGGCTTTCTCCGAGTGCTTCTAATTGACGAACTCTGAAACCGCCGCCGAGACGAAGGAAGAAGCAGTATAGTGGGCGAGGAAGCAGAGCAGCTGGGGTTGGAGCTGATGAATGATAAGTGGCGGTTAAAGCTCGCTCGGAAGCAAGCGGCACTGGAAGCTCCGGCCGCCATGCTCGGCGGAGCTAGTTAAAAGGACGATGATGATTGATGATGATGTAGAGAGGCAAGTTTGGGATGCAAATGAACGACTCCATAAAAGAGGAAGGTGGAGGGCTTAAGACCGCATGTTTGGTTTAAGGACAGTATGAAGCTACGATACGGCAATCCCGTTTATTGGCCCGGTTAAGCTTTTGCTGGAATGACGGTGCACAATTTTTTGGCGTTTGGCTAACTAATTTGATAACAACTCCTTCCATTCAAAAAGATGGAAAAGTTGCAAAAAAACACATAAAAGATGTTAGATTATGGTATTATAATTTCATAATTTAGATCATTTCACTCCACCCCCTCCTTTCTCATGACTAGGGATATTTTTACTTGGATTGTAATTTGCTGGTCTGATTTGTCTGTTTTGGTCTGATTTGGTTTGGTCTAGTCTGGTCTGGGACAAATTACAGTCCAAGTAAAAACAACCTAGATGTGTTGTTAATATGTTATTGGCTCATTTTATCAGAGCGCGTTTGGTAACACTGAAATCGGTTAACACTGCCGAAATTTATGAAGTTCTGACTGAAATGATCGTATTGGCTGATCTTGCTAATTCATGAAAAAATTAAACTTAAAATATATGTTATTAATAAAACAAAGAAAAAGTTATATCTAAAATAGCTAAAATGGTCCTCCATAATAACTTCAGCCGAAACAGCCAGAAAAATAACTTCAATCTTACTTTTTCTTATTATTACACATTTCA